ATATCCTGTGGCCATTTTTCTATTGGGTTATTTACCTTTATCTTGCTATGGTGCTCAAGTATTTTATAAATTCTGGATATAAGTCCCTTATCTGATATGTCATTACCAAGTACTTTTTCCCAGTCTGTGGCTTCCCTTTTTACCCTGTTGGAGAAGTTTTTGGATGTGCATAGGGATCCCATTCACCTATTTTATCTTGTAGATTTGTCAGTATACTTGGAAGACTGTTTATGTTCTGGATTAGGACTTCTAGAGATCTTCCAAGCTTTTCTTTAATGAAGATTATAGTCCTTGGTTTGAGTCCTAAGTCCATGATCTACCTTGAGTTGGTTTTTGTATATGAAATGAGGTATGGATCTTGCTTGAGTCTTCTGCAGATATTTTTCCAAGTTTGCCAACACCATTTGTTAAAAAGGCTGTCATTTCCCCACTTAACTGATTTCATCTCCTTGTCAAAAATCAGTTGACCATAGATAGATGGGCTGATCTCCAGGTTCTCAATTCTATTCCATTGATCTATGTGTCTGTCATTGTTCCAGTACCATGCTGTCTTAACCACCATGGCAGTGTAGTAGGATTTTAAGTCAGGGAGTGAGATACTTCCTACCTTTATTCTATTTTTAAGGAGTCCTTTGCTTATTCGGGGCTTCTTTACATTCCAAATGAAACTGGAGATTGCCTTTTCCATCTCGTTGAAGATGTTCATTTGTTTGTTTGTTTGTTTGTTTGTTTTAATGCAAATATGTATGACTGGTAAAGGAGGAGATTGCCCCTCCTCCAGCGGAGCATCTGGTGGATTCGAACTGCTCACCTTTGGGACTGCAACACACCAAGATAATTCTTGAACATCTGCAGTGTATGAAAAGAGCTCTGGTGGCCTCGTGAGTCAAGGGATGCTTTGATAACCCAAGGCAGGCAGTTTGAGTCCACCAGCTAGCTGCTCTGTAGTAGAAAGATGGACAGACAGTCTCCACTTGCGCAGTTTACAGTCCTAGGAAAAAAATCTGAAAAGCTCTGAAAAACCACTGAAGGTTCAGTTGTGATTCAATTTTAACTTGATGGCAAGTTTATGAGACCCTGCTCTACTACGAAGAAGCTGAACAATGGATGATATTTAGTCTCAAAGCTCTTACAGCCTTCTGGATGAGTCAGACGCCCAGAACGCCACGTAAAATGTGGATTGGAGCAGCAGAGGGCGGCTGTGAGAAACTGTGTGAGGCATGCTATGTGGCAGAGCTGGGCTCAGGTCTTTGCTCTTTTGCTGCCTTCTGCAATCTTAAGCAAGTTGTTAACGTCTATAAATTGTGCTAGTAAATTTAGATAATAATGCTTTCTTCATAGAAAATGAAAGCGAAAAAATGGTATGAAAATTCAGTGAAAAAAGGTCAAGTGCTCAACATAGAGCCAAATCACAGGAGTGCTTACTAAACAGCGCCTACTCTCAGAATAGTTTCCAATTCTAAGCGGAAGTGCATGCCTTCCTCAAAATGTCAGTAAGACCTGACTAGTTGCCATCAAGATTATTTCGATTCATGGCAACTACTTGTGTGTCAGGATAAGAGTATGCTCTGTTGAGTTTTCAATAGGTTGGGTTTTTTGGGGGTGGGGGGTGGGGGGCGAGGAGATTGCCAAGCCTTTCTTCCTTGATGCCTCTGGTAGACTAGAACTTCTAACCTTTCAGTCAGCATTAAGCATTTGCCTTTGAGCTATGCTGTTGGAGAAGAGTACTGAATATCCCAGACAGACACGTCTTGGAGAAATTACAGTCAGAATGTTCCTTAAACGCAAGGATGGCAAAGCTTCGTCTCACATAGTTTAGGCGTGTTGTTAGCAAAGGCAATTCCCTGGAAAGGGACATCATACTTGGAGAGGAAGAAGGCCAGTGAAAGAGAGGAAGACTTTCAATAAGATGGATTGACACAGTGACTACAGAAATGGGCTCACATATGTCCGAGATGATGAAGATGGGATGAAGGATAGGATAGGCTTCAGACCTGTTATTCACTAGGAGTCATACTCAACAGCACCTAACAACAACAAGGGCTCCTAGTAAAGCCCTTTTGTCATTAGCTCCTGGTGAATGAAACACCGACTGACTCTTGAACATCTCATGCACAGTAGAGGGAAATACTGCCTGATTTCGTGCCATCTGTAACTGGTTACAGAACTGACTGCTGTGGTCCATAGGATTCCCACTGACTGATTCTCAGAATAAATCACCAGGCCTTTCTTTAGTCTGGAATATCCACTGAAACCTACTCCGCATCACAGCATCCGTCTTCCACATGCAAGACAAGGTTTCTACCCCTGAATCCCCAACTGCCTCCCAGTCAGTTCCTGTAAGAGGCTTACCCTATCTGACCCTAAGGTTGCTTAGGCCCAGCACATTCCTGTGGTCTCTTTTCTTTACCACAGATCTTAAGACAGTCCACCTCTTTTCAAGCGGGTGCCTCTGTGAGCTCTCCTCTGCTAGTTTCAGCCCAGTCAGCTTCCAGTGAACACATACTCACTTTGCTCTTCCTCCTTCCATATCCTTGAGGTGGAACGTTAAGAACACAAGGCTCTTCTCCGTCAAAGGGATTTGTTGCCAGTCAACACAGGGAAATAAACAGGGAGAAAGAGAGGTAGTTTACATATCTATATTAGTCACCCTTTCTGGCCTTAGGTCTTCAAACTCTCTGAAGAGGCCAAGTGAGTTCTCTCCAGGATAGACTTTATATAAACCCTGGCACATTGGGCTGTTCCACCTTAGACGTTTCTGATTCTGTGTTCATTGCAAATGGCTTTAGAAAGATCATCGGTTCACACTGAACTTTATTAATGGGAAAGGAGAGCAAGGACGATCTCAAGCTAATGCACAGCCTGAATGCTGCTGGAGCATACTTAGAATTTAGCTGATGTTGCATCACATCTGTTCACCATTCATCAATGCCCGAATCAGGGTGCTGCCTCACACCTCAATCTTCGTACGACTGATTGGCTCATCACATCATGGAGGATGATTATATCATTACATACTTTCCAAAACACTAAGAATCATCACCTAACAAAAGTGACACATAAATTAGGGGTACAGAATTCATTCCATGACATCATTCCTGGAAAAAAGATCAAAGTAAGAGGTTAAGAAAGCCAAAATGAATTTTTAATGTCTGAAAGGATATTGAATGAATAAAGGTACAGGATCCAACTAGGTTGCATAGAACTTTGCTGGAGAGGGCTGTTCCAGATGTTGAGACCATATAATATGATACTAGAACTAGAAGGCTGGGAAGGTGAGGGGATAAGAGAATGTGTGTCCCTAACGTAGCAGGAGGAAGCACTGGTGGCCTATTGGGTAAGCAGTTATGCTGCCATCTCAAAAACAGGTGGTTTGAAACCCGTTTCTCTGAGGGAGAAAGATGAGCAATCTCCTCCTGTATGGTTTACAGCTTCCAAAAATTCACTAAAAAGCCAATTCACTATGGGCCAATTTGTTTTCAGTGGCAATAACTAACTGAAGTGAGAAGTGCCTAGGCATGCCTCAACTCAGACTTATCCTAAGGATGGTTGAAGGAGTGACCTGAAAACCCAGTCCACAAGCTCATGTCTGGGCCTGTTCTGGGGAGTGACACCAACTCCTATCTCTTTTTGCAGTTGTGGTTTGGGTTCTCTCCCCTTCCCACCCCCATGTGATAATTCATGATAATTCAGGAATCTGACATAGGTTAGTTCATGGCGTGGATTTTCACTGGCTTATAACTGGACTATTCTATAAATGTGATTGTCAAGAAAATGTCTCCAGTACATGTCTTAAATTTGGGCTCTTCACCTGTTAAGTAAGAATAGCAAAATAGGAGTTCAAGATTTTCTGTGCAAGCAAAGAAAAAGGTTTATTGGGGAAAATGCTTTGCAAGAGATGAATTGTTACAGAGTCTGTAACAATGGGCTCAGGTAGAGATGATGAGAATGGCAGAGGACAGGGCAGGGTATGAATTTGCTCTTCATCGGGTCACTATGGGTCATAGTCAACTCAGTGGCACCTAGTAACAACACATTTTACAAAGGAAGATAAAGGAATGAAGAACAATGCTAGCCCATGACTCTGTCACATAAAGAAGGAAGCTTTTAAAGACTCTGAAGACATGGAAAACATATCCTGTTTCTTCTGATGAGGGAAAGTCTATTGTCAGAGACATCTCCAGAGCACTGAAGAACAACGATGTCAGTTTGGAGACTAAAATATGCCTGATCCAGTCCTTCACAGTTACTTGCTATGAATCAGAAAGCTGAACCGTGACAAGGGATGATAGAAAGAGAATTGATGCCTTTGAGCTGTGGTGCTGGAGAAGAGTGTTGAATATACTATGGACTGCTAAGAGAACAAACAGGTTCATGCTGGAAAAGGTGAAACCAGGCTGCTCCATGGAGACAAGGATTTTGAAGGTCCCTCTAACATACTTTGGTCATAATGCAAGGAGGGACCAGTTCTTGGAGAGGGATACAATGTTTGGGAGGGTGGAGGGACAACACAAGAGAGGAAGACTCTTGATGAGATGGATTGACTCAGTGACTGGGGTAATGTGGGTAGGTGTGTCAGAAACAATACGGTTGGCTCAGTATAGAGCAGGGTGCAGAGCTGCTGTACATAGGGATGCTATGAGTCACAGGAGACTTGATGGCACATGATGACAACAACAACCACCTATTCCAAAGGAAAGATCATCATGTTTATTTAGGAGGAGGGGGTCATCTGGAATTGATCTAGACAGAAGAGATTAAAATCAGACCTTGTGCAGTTATTTTTTCAAGATGGCTACCACTAGAAGTACTTTCTGGGTTTTGTGGGGAGCATGTGCAGGTGATTAAAATAGCCAAGCATATATGCATGATTCTGCCAATTTTAGAAGCATGTGTGTGACTTTAAAGATGGACATCTCCAGGTCCTTAGGAAGCATGACCTTCCAAGATGGCTGCTTTCTGGAAGATCATACAGGACTCACTCCCATGGCACCTGAAAGCTCTTACTGTTGTTGTTAGGTGACCTCAAGTGAAGTACAACTCATAGGGACCCTATAAACAACAGACCTGAACCCTGCCCTATCCTGTGCCATCCTCATCATCTCTGACACACCTGAGCCCATTGCTGGAATAACTGTGTTTATCCATCTTCTTGAGAATCTTCCTTTCACTCAATTTTCCACCTTTCCAAGCATAATGTCCCCTTCCAAGGAATAGCTTCTCCCAACAATATGTCCAAAGTATGAGAGATACAACTTCACCATCTTTGCCTCCAAAGAGCATTCTGGCTATATTTTTTTTTCCTTCCCAAGACATATCTGTTTGCTCTTTTAGCAGTCCAAGGGATATTCGATACTCTTCTCTGACATCACAACTCAAAAGCATAAATTCTTCATCTATCATGCTTATGAGTCGCCTGCAACTCGATGGCACTTAACAACAACAACATCATGCTTATTCACTGCCCAGCTTTCAGATGTATAACAAGTGATTGAAAAGACCACAGCCTGAATCAGGTGCACCCTTAGTCTTCAGGCTGACACTATTGTCCTTCATTATTCTGGAGAGCTCCCTGACAACAGATTTGCCCATACATCTGTGATATGTCTCCTTATCTCCTGGCTGCTGGTACTAAGGGTGTTGACTGTTGATCAAGTAAAATGAAATCATTGACAACTTCAATCCTTTCTCTATCTGTCATGATGTTACCTATTCATCCAGTGGTGAATATTTTTGCCTTCTTGATGTTGAAATGTAATCCATATTAAAGGCTGTAGTCCTTGATCTTCTACAGCAAGTGTTTCAAGTCCTCTTCACTTTCAGCAAGCAAGATTGTGTCATCTGCATAATACAAGTTGTTGAGGAGTCTTCCTCTGATCCTGATGCGACATTCCTCCCCAAAGAGTCCAGCTTCATGAATATTTGCTCAGCATACAAATTCTTCAATAGGTATGGAGAAAGAATACAACCCTCATGCACACCTTTCTTAATTTTAAGCCATGTAGGGTCCCCTTGCCCTGTTCACACAACATTCTCTTGCTCTAGGTATAAGTTTCACATGAGCACAATTAAGTGTTCTGGGACTTCCATTCTTCTCAATGATAGCCATAGTTTGTTATAATCCACACAGTCAAATTCCTTTGCATAGTCAATAAAACACAAATAGACATTCTTCTTCTGGTATTTTCTGCTTTCAGCCAGCATCAGCCTGATATCCCTGGTGTCATGGCCTTTTCTAAACACTGCCTGAACTTCTAGTGGTTTCCTGTTAATATATTATTCTAGTGGTTTTTTTAAAGGATCTTTAGCAGTATTTGGCTTGCATGTGAAATCAGTGATATTGTTCAATAACTTTCACATTCTGTTGGATTACCTTTCTTGGGTATGGGAACAAATATGGATCTCTTCCTGTCAGTCAGCCAGCAAGACAGCTGAGTCACCACCACAGTGAGATTATGCCAAGCACCAGCACCAAAGATCAATACCTTTATCCAAGGCCCCATCCAGCTGTGCCACCAAGGGATGGGGCTAGAAAAAGGTGTCCTGCACCATAATATTTGTGTGCCTGATTGTCTTTATGGTTTGCTATTAAGAGGTATAACTCCTATCTGTCAATACCTTAAATTGGGGTGTGATTTGTATGTTTCTAATTTGTATCTTGCTTGTTTATCAATGCAGTACTTGTCTGTTGATCTGTTGTACTGATGCAACTTGTAATGATGTTGCTGTGATGCTGGGAGCTATGCCAGGATCTCTTTCAAATGCCAGGGTCATCCATGATGGACAGATTGCCACGAAACTCCTAGATTAAGTTAGAATAGGAAGAAGAATTGGCTATTCACTGCTGAACTAATTGTTGCTTTTGTATACCTTGGAGTCAGAACTTCCAGCCAGTTTTCAGAAGCAGTAAATCTCACTGAAGGAGATCTCACTGAAGGAGACTGCCCATCTTTCTCCCATGCAGCACCTGGTAGATTTGAACCATGTGCCTTTAGGTTACCATCACAACTTCTTACCACTAGGCCACCAAAGCTCCAAGATAATAGGGCTTTAAAAGCTCTTAAAGTTAAAATTGTAATAAGGGAACACCTGGAGTTGCCTTAGCTACTCATTTTGGGTGAGTTGCTGGATCTTGTGATGATTCTATTACTTGAATGTTGGCTTTCCTGAACTGAATCCTCTCAAGGGAAAAATAGTTCCATTCAGCACATCATGTAAATTCACTTAAAATTTAAAAGTTACATTTTCCTTCTAATTCCTTAAAAAGGTCATCCTTGATGCAAGGTCAGAAGGTCCTATTAGTATGCTAATTGAAGGTGGTGTCACTGAGTCAGAGATTATCTGGTGGGGTAGAGAGGCAAATCATAGCAGTTAAAAGATTGAAACTTGACAAGGAGGCTTTTCTCCCAGCTGTTGCTGCCAACAATAAGAAAACTTCTCCTTTAAAAAATATTGTTAAAGAAATGTTAGGGTTTTATTGCTTTCTTGTTCTTATATATTTTTCTTTTCTTTTCTTTTATTATTCTTGTGTGTGTGTACCATCAAATCAGATCTGACTGGTACAGGAGATTGTCCCTCCTTCTCCAACAGAGCGTCTGATGGATTCGAGTGCTTTCTTGTTCTTGTTGTTATGTGCTGTTGTTACATGTTGTTGTAGTCTGCGACTCATAACAACCCTATGTACAACAGCCCTAAACCCTGTTCTATTCCTTGCCAATCTTACTGTCTCCGACATGCCTATCCCCATTACTCCAGTGACTGAATCAATCCATCTCATTGAGGGTCTTCCTCTCCTGTGCTGTCCCTCCACCCTCTATGATGTCTCTCTCCAAGCACTGATCCCGCCTTGCAACATGTCCGAAGTATGTCAGACGGACCTTCAGAATCCTTGCCTCCAAGGAGCAGCCTGGCTTCACCTTCTCCAGGACAAACTTGTTTGTTCTCTTAGCAGTCCATGGTATATTCAATACTCTTCTCCAGCACCAAAGCTCAGAGGCATCAATTCTCCTTCTATCATCCCTAGTCATTGTTCAGCTCTCTGACGCATAGCAAGTAATTGTGTATTGTATGGCCTCTATCAGGCACACATTGCTTTCTTACCTTTTGCAATTCTAATCCATCAGCTATTGCACTGGAGAAAGATGGGTGATTTAAAACCTCAGAAATCCTATGGAGGATCAGCTATGAGAAGATTTCTCTCAGTAGCAATACCTTTGAGGTTTTTATTCAAAGGCATTAAGTGCTAAGTACTGTACTTGTTATGTACAAGTTGGAAGTGACCTCTAGATGACCTTCCAGCAGGTTTTCAGAAGCCACAAATCGCAAAAGAACAACAATTATGTTTTGGAGAAGGTACAGACAGAGTGTTCCTTGGAAGCAAGGAGAAGGAGACTTCATCTCACCACATACTTTGGGCATGTTGCTAGGAGAAGCTATTCCTTGCAGAAGGACATCATACTTGGAAAGGTGGAGGGATGGCGCAGGAGAGAAAGACCTTCAACTGTGGATTGACCGTGTGACAATGGCCTTGGATGTATCAGAGATTGTGAGGATTGTGAGTGTTCAGATCTGCTGTTCATAGGGTTGCTGTGAGTGGTATTCGCCTCATGACACCTAATAGCAAATGACACAGGAGATTACTCATTTTTTTCCAGAGAATCAGCTGGTAGATAAGAACTGCCTGACTTTGGGTTGACATGGCAACTCTATTAGGCCACCAGAGCACTTCAGTGCTATACTAAGTTATTTATATAGTGAGACTCTAATAATATTTATATCACTCTTTGGAAGAGTTACATTTTTCCCGAGCCCCATTATGAATTGAATAACATTTTTTCCTATATAAATTTCCATAACCCTTTGATCATGACAACAATATCTCCTGACATTACAGTGTTTGTATAGTTAATTTTTCATAGCTAGATGAGGCTTTTCTTTGGAAAAGGGGCATTAAGTTTGGAAATATGGAGGGTCAAGGAAGGAGAGGAAGACTCCCAACAAGATGAATTGACATGGTGACTTCAGCAATGGGCTCTAGTGTGTCGAATTTGATGAGGATGGCATGGGATAGGGCAGGGTTCAGGCTGGCTGTTCATACAGTCTCTTTAAGTCCTACTAGACTCAATGCACATAAGAACAATGATACACTAAGGCAAATCTGTTGATAAAGAGAGTTGCAGGTCTTTGGGGGGTTGGAAGCCACCAGCAGCTGAGAGAGAGAAAAATATGCAACCTCCCTTGTGGCTATTTTCCCCAGAAACCCTCTGGAAAGTCAGCTTACACGCTTCTAACTCAGGTGCTAAGGAGAGGCAATTGGGTTTTTGTTTTGTTTGTTTTTAAGGCGTATTAGTGCTTAAAATTGGAAGCAGTTGGCCTGTGGTAGGCTTGGGTCTGTGGCAGAGTTTGAATTCCTTTCCAGTGTTTAACGTAGGCTCAGATGCCATTTGAGTTCCTTCCTGTTCTGTACATCTGTACCTATCACTCCACTTTGCCCACAGCAAAAGTGCACTTGCAATATTGGCCACCACATTTGTTTGGGGAGGAGCAATTAAGCGGCCAGGTGGGTCCTTAATGATTCCTGGAAGTCATAGGACTAGCACTAGGCAGGCCTCAGGGGCAGAAACTCCAGAACCAATCCTGTAAAGTTTTCATTTGACTTGATATACACTTCCCAATCGCAGTCTTCCTCCCCAAAGTAGCCCCTCCTACAAGGGTGCTCAGGTGCTTGTCAAGGGAGGCCACAGCAGCCATGATTCTCCCTAATTCTCTCAGCTCCATTGTTGTTTTCTCTTATTCCCGAATAATTTGTCTTTATCCTATCAGTGTCCTAATAAAATAATATCTATAAAGGAGCTCTTGTGGTGTGTGTTGTTGTTGTTATATGCTGTCAAGTCATCTGCACTCATAGCAACTCTATGTACAACAGTCCTAAACCCTGCTCTATCCTGTGCCCTGTGCCAATCTTATTGTCTCTTATTGACACACCTATCCCCATTATCCCAGTGACTGAATCAATCTATCTCATCAAGGGTCTTCCTCTCTTGTGCTGTTCTTCCACCCTCCCAAGCATGATGTTCATCTCCAAGGACTGGTCCTGCCTTGCAACATATCCAAAGTATGTCAGACAGAGCTTCTGAATCCTTGCCTCCACGGAGCAGCCTGGTCTCACCCTCTCTAGGACAAACCCGTTTGTTCTCCTAGCAGATCATGGTTTATTCAAAACTCCTCTCCAGCACCACAGCTCAAAGACATCAATTCTCCTTCTATCGTTCCTAGCTGCGTATGTAGTCTGTAGTAATTTGTGCTGCTAACCAAGAGTGTTTATAGAATATGTTCAAATTTGAGGTGTCCATTTCCCCTGGGACACTGGTCAGCAATAGTTCTTGGTGACTCTAAAGATCTTCATTTCCTAAATAAGAAGGTTTGTCAGTAAGGTTTTCTCAAATGGCTATGGTATGCCTTCCAAAACATGAGGAGTCAGACAACTCTGCCTTGTTTAGATGAGCATTGTCCTTTGGTGTGTCTGCTAAAAGGAAAAGGTCAAAGACACAGCAGTTGCTGGCTGAGGGAGTCATTGTTCATGAAATCTCAGTGAGGCCAGAAGGGCAGACATTCGTAAGGATGTACTTTAGGAAGATGTGATGAGGTAAGTTAATGGAGGAGTCAATGTGAGAAGTTTGGTCTTGTGTGGAATTCTGTACCTGACACTGTTCTGCCTCTGCCTCCATCCAATAATTATTTGTTGTTAAATATGTGTTACTGTTTTCTGCCATCCAGTTTTTGCATCACTCACCAGAGGTTTCCCTCTTCTAGTTTCCTACTATGTTGGAACCTTGGGGACACACACTGAGATCAAGAGAGTGGCAGAGGAAAGGGTCACATTGCCCTGTCACCATCAACTGGGGCTTCCAGAAAAAGACACTCTGGATATCGAATGGCTGCTCACAGATAATGAAGGGAACCAGAAAGTGGTAAGTATACACCTGGCTAAAGTTGCTCCTTCCTCAGCTTCCTTGTACTTGTCTTATTATGAAATATGTAACAGAGACTGACTTTAGACCATCCTCCCTTTTCAGAGCTTATCCTCTTTCCTTCTGTCTCAGTGCCCTAGAGATGTCATAATACAATGCCATTGTGTAGGCGACTTTAAACAACAGGAACTTATTTTCTCAGCGTCTGGAAGCTAATTTCAGCATCATCACTGGAATTTAGCCTACTTAAATGAACTGTTTACCCCACCTTCTTATTCTGATGCTGTTGTCAATTTGAGTTCACAGTACCTCATCTTAAGACTTTGTGTTTTCTGTAGAACAATGTCACCTTAATCTGAGCATGTTTCTGGTCAAGCCTAGAAATAATAACACAATAATAACACTCAGTTCTGAATTAACTGAATAAGAGTCCATAATCTTCTAATAAAATGCAAGCATGATTCCATGAATCTAACTTTTAAACAAGTATTTATGCTTGAATGGAGAAAAACAGTTGCTTGATCATGTAGCCAAGTGAATACAAAGATTAGGAATTTAAATTCTTGATTTATTTAAAAAATTATTTTATAGTGCTTTGCTTACAAAGTTTAAATGTTGATTTCTTTTTTAAAGGCTACTGATATGACCCTCAAGAGCCACAGTTTCATACTTGTTTTCAGCAGAAGCTCTTAAGTAAGGATTGACATTTATTCAGCCATTCAGATTATGCACATTTACTTAGCATTTACCGTAGGCCTTGTTTAGCGCTAGGCACCAGGAATGAAACATTGAACGAAACAAGTTCCTGACTTCTTAGAGTTTACACTGAAAAGGTATTCGAGAAATATGACAACAAATCAATAAAAGTTGAAAGGAATAAATATTAGCTATATGCCAGGCACAGTCCTGCTTAGCAATATTGTGTCTCATTTAATTTATTCCTCATAACAAGGATTATAAATTCCATTTTACAAAAAAGGAGCACAACTCATGCATGAACACAAACACGCATACATATGAGCCGCCTGCTGAACTCCACCCATTGCGCATGATGAAATTAGGCACTCTTAGATGTGCCTGGGCTCTTAACCACTATTTTGAAAAATAATTTGAAGTTGCAATGTGTGCTATGAAGAAAATAAGGAGAATATGGGGAGCAAATTGTTCTAGACAAAACTGTACAGCTGCGCTGCAATCCCAGAGGTACGCAGTTCAAATCCACCAGATGTTCTGCTGGAGAAGGAGGGGCAATCTCCTCCTGTACCAGTCAGATCCAATTTGACGGTACACATGCACAAAATAATAATGAATTTTTTTTTTAAAAAAAAAACTGTACAAACACCCTGATAAAAGAAAAACCTTGGGAATGTCTTTATTTTATTTTATTATTTTTGTCTATGTGTACCGTCAAATCGGATCTGACAGGTACAGGAGGAGATTGCCCCTCCTTCTCCAGCAGAGCACCTGGTGGATTCGAACCTTGTGCCTCTAGGATTGCAGCGCAGCTTCTTGACACTAGGCCACCAGAGCTCCCTAAACCTTGGGAATTTCTAAAAGATAAAAAAAATTGCATTACATTTGAAATATTTATGATATAGTTAAATACATAAAATCTATAATATACATAAAAATATAACTTAATTACATATATTTCATTTCAAATGTATATTAATTATAATGTTTATAATTTTAAACTATAAATAATTATATGTATTATAGTTCCTACTATAAACAGACTCCTACTCATTGTGCTAAATGAAGAGGTAAATGCATAGAGAGATCATTTCTTGTGACACATACCGTAATAAAGATAAGCAAAGTGTCCTAGGGAGCACAGAGGGGCCATTGACCAAGGTCTTTGGAGAGGGAAAGAATTACCAAGGAATTACCTTATAGGAAAGTGCAGCTGATCTGAGTCTTGATTGGAGGAATTATCCAGAAGGGGAATCTCAAGAGCACAGCCATGGAGGCTGGGAACTTAAAGAGACTGGAAGATCCAAATCATGGAAGATTGTCTGTGCTGTATTAGGAAACTTTACATTTTTCCTGTAATGAAATGGAGTGTTGGGTTTTTTTTTAAATGGAGTTCTTGAAGGATTTTAAGAGGGGAAAGTGACATATTTATGTGTTGGGAGGATCCCTCTGACATGGTTTTTAAGAAATTTGAGTAGAATTTTACAAATAAAGAACTTAGATATATGCATGCATACACAAATACACACACAAATAAGCAACTTGCCTGAAATGTGCCAATTTTCCGTACTGAAGTTAGAAACCCTGACAGTTAAATCAGTTGAGTGATTTCAGACTGAACAATAAGGGCTTAATTGACAAGTGAAGTCAAACGAGTCAGTGTCAAGTTGATTCAGCCTCAGCAACCTCGTGTGTGTCAGAGTATAACTGGGGTCCATACAGGTTTTAGCAGCTCATTTTTCAGAAGTACATTTCCAGGCCTTTCCTCCAAGGCACGTCTGGATGGACTCAATATTCCAATTTGGTTAGCAGCTCAGAGCATTAACTGTATCACTCATGAATGCCTAGAATCAAGAAAAGGATAATAAATACGTAATGGATAAGTAAAAACACCTAAATACAAGGAGAGGTGGGAGTAAAGAAAAGTATTTCGTGAGTAAAGTCGCTAGGACTTTATCATTGCCAAGGTGTTGGGAATTAGGGTGAGAGAGAACATCCACGAAGGATTAGAATGGATGTGGTGCTTAAAATAGGCTTGCCAATGACCTAGATCCCAAATTTAGCTTTGTTTTTCAACCTGAGCAGCAATAGTTTTCTCCCTTTTGCCTCAGCTGCTCAGAGGACGCAGGGAACATCTAGGTTGTGTTGGAGATGTCTCTGGAACATTTGCATTTTGGGCTGGAAAGCCGCCAAAAGTCTGAAGTATCCTCCTGGTAATGAGTATGGACACAGCAAAATTTCCCAAGTGGGAACAATGGCCACCCCTGGGGAGGGTCAAGAACAGGCAGAGAGAGCTTTTCCCCTCTGGTTTCAGATGGAGAAGTTAGGGCAAAGACAGTTCAGTTCCCATGCCAACCCTCTTGTACCACCCCTTCATCCTTTTCCACTTCTTTTTGATTTCTGAGCAAGGAAAACCCTGATCTAAGGCACAGGGAGAGGCCCTGCACCCCGCTCAGCTCGAGCCAGTTTTATGCCTGCTAAGCCTGGCATTCCACAGCAGGGCAGCTGCCAGAAAGTTGAGCTCATCCATCTATTCCCTACAGGCCCTAACAAATTATCCCCTCGCTAAAACAGGGCCCAGAACAGGTCCACCAGGAATGTCACAAAGCAAATAGCCTCATGGCATCTGCAGTCCATTGGTTTATTGTTTTATTTGGTTGCTAAATGATTAAATTCATGTTCCTTGTTCTCCTATCACATTCCACTGAATGGCCTTGTCTCAGTACAAAGTAATAGTAGTAGTAATTTCCTGGAATTAAAAAATGGAAAATGAAACAACACCCAAGATCGGGAATTGAAAATGTCTGAACACACTGAGCCCAACTACAACCTACCTGAGCCCCGTCTGTATGGAAAGTGTAAGATTCTGGGAGAACAAGAGTAATTCAATGGCACTGTAAGATTACTTTTGAATTGCATCATCTTTGCTTTGTAGCTTTATCACTAATTTTTTTCCTTCTTTTTTATTGTTAAATGTTTGGATTGGATTTGGAGCAAAGGATAGAAAAATCACATGAGAGTGCCTGAAGTTGAGTCTAGACAAATAAATTCTACCTAATTACTGTCAAGTCCGGAAAGACTCATTGCTGATCTTTTTTTTTTATATTTTTTACTATTGTTAATTTTAATGAAAGTTTACAGAGACTTTGGATTTTCAGTCATTCATTGTTGCAATTTTCTCCCTGCACAACCTTCCCTGCCCCCAATTCGCTCTTCTCGTTGAAAAGTAAAATAAAAATTCTTTCATTGTTTGACAATCCCTTCCCCCAGGTCCATTCCACTATGCAGCCTTGTTCTGGACTCCTATGATGACAATAATATCTAATCATATATTCCTTTTAAACAGTTCTCTCCCTCATCTGTTTCGATGCAGTAAACATTAATCCTCCTTTCTTTCTCATCCTACCCCCAACCCCAATGTCAGTCCCGTTTTACAACAGTTGCACCGTGCAGTATTTGTCCTTTTGTGACTGAGATATTTCATTCAGCATAATGTCCTCCAGGGTCACCTATTTTGAATAATATTTCATGAGTTCCTTGTTTTTCAATGCAGCATAGTATTCCATTGTGTGAATATACCACAGCTTCTCTATCCATTCTTTTGTTGATAGGCACTTAGGTTGTTTCCATCTCTTTTGCTATTGTGAACAAAGCCGCGATAAACATGGTGTGTATCTCATTGTCTTTCTGAGGCTGTAAATTGTGAGAGAAGATTGTTCATTTGCCAGGAACTCGACTTTCAGTGTAACAGTGCAACTCCCTACAGATGATACCACCAGAGCTCCCTAAATTATACAGTGTAGTAATTGGTGTTGTGTACCATTAAGTTGGAACTGAGCCATACCTGGTCCTCCAGCGGGTTTTCAGAGGCAGTTAATCACACAGGAGGAGATTGCTTGTCATTCTCCCACAGAGCAGCTGGTGGATTTGAACCCTGTGCCTTCGCAGCTTCTTGCCACAAGGCCACCAGTGGTCCCTAGTAATTGGAAACCTAAAAAAATTAAACTCATCATTAAATCGATTCTTACTCATAACAACCCTAGAGGACAGAGTAGAATCACCTCATGGTGTTTTCAAGGCTATCAGTCTTCTCATCTGTCTTCTGTTGGTGAGTTTGAGCCTTTTGGTGAGTAGCTCAGTTCAACTCACTGTACATCAGAGCTCCTTACAGTGTAGTAAAGCCTAGAGTAGGAAGCACAGCAGGGATGGTGGATGTGTTTTAATTCTTTGCACACAGCATGACTATGAATCCAGCCTGTCAACAGTAAATAATATGGTAGAAATATGCCCAACACAAGAAAGCTCAA